GCAAGCAGCCATTTCAAAATGATTGCATGTCTTCTCAAGTAGACTGAGTTCAAACAAACAATCATTTCAATGCCTTCATATTTCATGTTCTCTTTCCTTGTTTTTCTTTCTCAGGCTTAAGTTAAATGGCCCACAAATAGCAGATACCCGTTGTGTGAATACGCTTATTAAAGCAGTTCCCCAGTCAACAATCATGTGGCAGCAGTGAAATGGTTAAAATCGTGCAGGAGCTTTAAGTCCAATATCAGAACGGAGAAAAAAAAGTTGATTCCAGTGACTTTGACTGTAGTATGATTTCTGGTGCCAGATTAGTTGGTTTGAGAATGTTTGAGAATGTCTGAAATAGCAGAAGCAAGAGTTTGGTGATGAAAGAGGTCAGAGGCCAAACTGACTGGAGCTGACAGAACCGCTGCAGGAACTAATCAGAATCAGAATTCAGATGCAGATGCACTGCACATTTTCTTTCCTATGTTGCGTACCTAAATCCTGATCTATGCAATAATGACATGTGGCAATTATTGCAAGCAACTACAAATACATGTATTTTCTCAGAGGCCAGGAAACATGGAGTTATTTCTTCACTGTAGTCATTATACTTGCACATCGACAAGCCAACTAGAATAAATGCAACTTCTCAGACAAGCATAGATTTTCTGTTCACAAATAAGCCTGACAGAATCTCAAAGACCTTTAATTTTCTAACTGGTCTATCAGATCACAAGAGCATATTATTCGCAAGTAAGCTGAAAAAGCAGAGGTACTTGATATCACACACTGTCCCTGCAATAAACGTTATACCTACGAGACAATCAGCAAACCTCAGTGAAGCCCTAAAATCTGTAGACTGGGAGGAAACATTATCTTCAAACAGTATAGATATCAGTTGTAAATCATTTGTAGATAAAAAATCAAAGAGGTGATATCCTCATTTGCTAGCAGGGCAAGGTATAGGAGCAAGAAGGAAAAGAATCTACCATGGTTGGACCAAAACTGCAGAAACATATTGAAATCAAGGGACGCACTACTCAAGAAATATCTGAGGTCAGGATTGTCCACTGATAGGTTAAATTATACACATGAACACAAAGCCATACAAACTCTTAGGAGGGCCAAAGCAAACTTTTTTATTTCCATCATAGAAAGTGCCAAAGGTAGCGGGGAAAAAAACATGGACATTTTTAAATAAACTACTAAGTAAACAAGCTAAATGGGAGACTAAAACCCCTGAACTACTAATGAATAACACCCTGGTCAAGGACCCTATGGCAGTGGCAAATAATTTTAAGAATTATTTCATAGATAGTGTATCTGAAATCACAAGTACCTTCACTGCGTCTTCCATAATATCTCATCCCTTAAAGGACAATCAGCCTACTTTCCAGCTACAAAGTATAACAGAGACTGAAGTAACAAAGATCATTTCAGGTCTTAAAAGCTCCAAAGCTCAGGATGTCCATGGGATCGACACTAACTTTGTTAAAAGCCATGCAAATGCACTTATACGACCCATCACTCTTATGGTTAATCAGTCTATCAGTCAAAAAGCAGTTCCATCTTCTTGGAAGGAGGCCACAGTAACACCCATCTTTAAAACTGGGTCTAAGACACAGGTAGCCAACTATCAGCCAACCAGCGTCCTCCCAATAGTCTCGAAGGTTGCTGAGAAGTGGATAGCAAATCAAGTTATCAGACATCTTGACAAAGGTAGCACCCCACGACATCAAATGCAATTTGGCTTCCAGGCTAACCATTCTACAGAGACAGTGAACTGTTTTTTCACTGAAAAGGTAAAGACTTTACTGGACAAGGACCCCTGTGTAGGAGCTGTGTTTTTAGATCTCAAGAAGGCGTTTGACACTGTCAACCATCAAATCCTATTGACAAAGCTCACATATTTCAATTTCTCTGCAGGTGCTATACCATGGTTTCAATCTTACTTGTCTTATAGAACACAATGTGTAACACTTAATGGTGTCAAATCCCCCTATCTCTGCTGTCATGCCGGAGTACCTCAGGGCTCTATCCTAGGTCCTTTATTATTTTCATTATATATTAACGATCTCCCAGACATCTGTCTGGAGCTTAATTTGCTGATGTATGCGGATGATGTGGTGACCTTCACTCAGGGAAAGGATGCAGTGACAGTTGCTGCAAACCTCTCAAATGCCTTATCCAAGATACAAGACTGGTGAAGACTGAACTGTCTCATGCTTAACACCAAAAAAAAACGTTTTTGTGATGTTCACCAAAAAAACAATTAAGTATATCACTGAAAAATCTGACTGTGGAAGGCTCACCAAGCGACCAGTGATACAAAGCAGATCGTCTGTGTTCTTAGATGGAGAAGAATTGGAGATGGTAACTCACTTGAAGTACCTTGGGACTGTATTGGACTCCAACCTCAATTTTAAGAAACCAATCAAAATTGTAACCAATATCATAAAATTTAACCTACAAAACTTTAAACAAATCCAGCCTTTCATTACAACAAAAGCTGCTCAATCTTACTTCCACTGCATGATTCTTTCTCACATCAAATACTGTTTCACTACCTGGTCGTTTGCTAGTGTCACTGCTCTGAAACTCATTGAACAGCTTTATAAAAAAAAGCCATCAAGGTGCTGGACAAAAAGCCACAGTCATTCCATCATTGTGCAATCCTAAAGAAATATCAATTTTTAAACTTTGAGAATTTTAAATTATTTAAAAGGCCGTACTATAAGTCTGTGAATGGCATCGCCCCACCGCCCCTGGGGGGGTTTTATCAAAAAGAAAAACGGTATCACTAGTACAAGGTCAGCTACCAGGGATGACTGTTAAGTACAATTTCAAAAGTTCTCCTTTGCAAAGCATGTACTATCTTTTAAAGGTTGCACAAACTGGAATATTTTACCTATAGCTATCAGAGAAAGCTCCACCTTTGTCAGTTTTAAAAGACAATGTAAGTGTTATAATTAAGTATGATTCAAGCTATTATGTGTTCTCAGTCTGTATTTTTCCATGATTCCTATGGTTCTTATAATTAATTAAGTTTCAAGTTATTATGTATTCTGAGTTTGTATTTTGTGCTGAGCTTATGTCCTTGAAGATAATGTGTCCGGTGAGAACCGGTTTGCACACTTGGAGACAGCAGAAATTCTTCTTTTCTATTAGATACGATTGCTACTTTAGCTACACGCCGTACCAACAACATCCACACATGTTGCTTACTAAATGTCAAGGACGTGGACAGAGCACAGAAGAAGTATGCCTGTCCACGCCATTGGTAACTGGCCAATTAAACTCGGTAGCGCACAAGTCTTATCTATGTTCGGGGCAGGCCCAACCCAAGAAGATATCTGTAACCTGGAACCGAAAAATCTCAGTTCAGCTGGACATGAGATTCCTCTCTGTCCCTCTGGATTCCAGCGCTGCCTCACTTTACCTGTGACTGAAATAAATAAATTATACAACTGAGAACTGAAGATTTCTCCGGCTTGTTCTTGGGCTTCCAACTAAAGAATCGGGTCTAACCATTTTGGAGCCGTGACCCGGATTGGTTGACTCTGAGACCACGTCCAATTGAGGAGTGCCGGAGTCGATTGGCGGTGAGTCTTTTTCAGACAATTCCAGGCGCCTAATACAAAAAGGTGAGCAGAAAACCTCTTTTCTACTTGAAATTTCTGCACATTGGACATACCAAAAGAAATTGTCTGAATAAGATGAATCTCTGATCACTAAAAGCGTAGTAATTTTCTTTTGGGGAATGATT